CCTTCATTCTCTTTCACGAGCAAGCTACTAAATATAAAATATTCCCGGTATAAAACAAAGCGAATTTTAGAGGGGTTCAACTCCCCGGAGTGTGGGCAGGCAGGGCTAGAAGACCCGGGGAGGGGAGGGGGGGCGGGAGAGGGCGCTGAGAAAGACTCCCCGCGCTTGGGAAGGCGCCGGGAGTCTGTCACAACAGCCAGTTTGGCTGCAAAAGGGCAGGAAAATAGTAGTCGAAAAAGGGAATTTATCCCTCTGGAAGAAGCTTCGTGTCTTGAAAGAAAGAAAAAAAAAAAAAAGAGCCCTCGGTATTTTGGCTTGCTGCAGCTGTCGGAATCAGGGTCTGCCTTTAGATAGAGCCCTCGAATGTACAAGGGATGCAAAACAGCCGGGTTGGTCGCCAGCGATGGGTAGATCTCTATAGGTCTGCAGCCGTCTAATCCTAACAGGCAAACTAAACGTGAGGGCTGGGAAGAGGTAAAACGCAGCCACCCTCAGAAGCTTTTCCATCTCAGCGACTTAAAAAGACACAGAAGGTGATGGAGGAAAGGATTTCGGAATCGACACTAAATATCAACCTAAAATATTCTCCTGCCAGATGAGCGCAGCCTTTTGAGATGTTCAAGCCTCTGAAATAATATAACGAGATTAAATACAACAAAAAGAGTCAGAATAACCTTGACTTGAATTGTGTGTGTGTCCGCCCTTTCTCTTTAGACGTATTTTGCAGTTCTCTAGAAAAATCACAACCGTACAGATTCAGGTTTTGGAAGATAAATATTGTATCCCATACTACAGCACGGGGCTTTCATCTCGCCGATTAAAAATATTAGCTATTATTTGAATTATTATAAACATTTTAGCTAACTATTGAAACACACTCCTATTGCAGTGTTACGGGAACATATTTAGTTAAAAAATAAAAAGAAAAATAAAACCAAAGACTACGTATAGCTTCTTTCCATACCAGACAAAAAGGGAAACAGAAAAGAAGAAACAACAGTAAAGAAATTCCAAGCCCTAAACATTTAAAATCCAAACTAAGCATTTTTATTTTTTTTTTTCCCCTGAAGCTGCATTCCTGGTCAATTTTGCGAAGAATTATCGCCTTATGGCCTTATTTTCATTGGGAAAGTTGGGAGCGGTTTGAGCTTTTCTCTGGCAATAAGGTTGCGAATTCCCTAGTACTATTTTTTTCTAATAAGCCTTTTAGACTGTAATCAACCCCCAGGTTTACCGAACACTGTCCTAATTTCTGAGACATTTTATCCTGCTCGAGCCGGAACGCACCTCACTCTTCGTAGGCGAGAGGAGCAGCAGCGATTGAAGCCAGCCATCCTGTAATATTTTAATTGGTTACTCTTGAAGCAAATTCCTTTTAGCACAAGTCTCTCCTGTTAATTATAAGCACTCACACTATTGGCAAGGTAAATGGCCGGCTTCATTTTTTTTTTTTTTTCCCCAAGCAAAACCCTGTACAAAAAGACAACAATTTAGATACTTTAGAACTTGACCTCTTGGAGACTAGCGGTAGTAACATAAACAGTCCCCTTCGCACGCCATGTGTATATATAAAAGCTGGCTATCGAGGCGTCCTAGCTCTGTTTATATTCCTCCAAAGAAGAGATGTAGCTTTCTTCCTTTGCTTTGTTTAGTTTAGCTATGGGTAAATGTGCTCACAGTCACTCCACCTCTTGGCCACGCTTCTCCTTTGCAAAAACGTCCTGCAGCAGAGCTCCCAAATTCAGAGCGGTTTTACCCTCTCTAATCCGGCCGAAATACATGGGAAGGCGTAACGAATGCATTTTGCTTCTCCAAACGAAATGCCTGCCTTTGTTTATGTTGTTTTCATTGAGGGGAAGGCTCAGTTTTCCCTCTTCCTCAACGCTGAAGTCCCAATTACTGTATTAAAAGAGCAATTCAACATTAGACTAAATAATCAACATCGATAATTGTGCTGAACACAGCAACTTAACAGCAGGCTCCCTGCAATTACCCGCACATTCCGGGACTTTAAGCGTACATTATCTCTGTTTCACTTAACAGCAAATAAAGCAGAGAACAGCCTGTGCCTTGGGTATCTACTCACTCCTAGACAAGCTGCACCTCTTGCAGTCTTCCCCATCACCCTGCCAGTTTACTCTGCATGAGGAGCCCAAAAGCATTTTGGGGTCCCCTTAAATTGCTAAAGGGCTTAGATAAATAAGCTGCTAGGTTTGGGAATTGGGGGGGGGGGGGATGGGGATGTGCGAGGGGATACACAAACACAACTCGAGCGATGGAAAAGTAGGCATCAGGGCTGCATCTGTGCATGCTGTGCAAGCACACATATGCCCAGACACACGCTCACACCCCACACGCACACACACGCCTATTCGCAGTTGCATTCTCGCCCTTCTTGCCTTAATTTCCTTTTGTTTCCCAGAGGCAGCCCCGACCTCTGGCACGGCAGAGCCTCGCAAGGCGCCGCAGACCCGGCCGCCGAAAGGAGCGAGGAAGAGCCCCACACAAACCTGTGCCAGCTCCGCTCCCCACTTCTAGCCCAAGGGTCTGAAATTTATTGAAATGCAAGAAGGGAGGGGGGGAGGGGGGGGGGGGGGGCTGCAGTGAGCCCGAGGATGTGGCGTCCCGCGATTAAGCGCTGGGCAGCTCTGTCATGTCTGCTCTGACACAAGCTGAAGTTGACTGCCAAAGTGCTATAAAACCGCAGGTCAGTCTAGAACTGTTTTCGGTTCTCCTAGACGCGCCGTGTTCAATTATAGCCTTAAAAGCCCTAATACAAGTGCAAGAATTTGTTTGCCATCACACAGAGGCGGGGCGAGGCTCTGCAGTGGTGGTGCCTTTGTTATCTCAAAGTCACTGAAATCCTTATACATTCCTTTTTGTTGGAACGGATGGGTGTCTGAGTGTGACCAGGGTGTGGGGAGAGTGTTTTCATCTACGGAATTGAAGGGTGGGGGGACACAGGGAAAAGAAACAGCACTCGGACACCAAAAGAGGGCTTCCGACCCCCCAATCCCACCCCACACCCCCATCCCCCTTCAGAAGCGGAAAGTATAACGTTAAGGAAAAAGCCAACCAGAGCACTTGCACACACACTCCCCCACCCAAGTTGAAAAAAAAAAGGAAATAAAATAAAGAGAGGGGAAAAAATAAAGAGGGAAACCCCAAACCCTTTTACAATCCTTAAACGACGCTGCAGTCTTCTGCTGGCAGTTTTGACTATGCGCAATCTCTTTCCATCCACTTTCTAGCAAATATGTCAAGCTGGAAGATTAATTCATTAATTTCAAGTTCAGCTCGCAGACGTGCAGTAAGCGCAAGAAGTTCTTGCAGCAAACCAAAATAAAGAGTTCATTACAGGGATACGTCCAGAGCATTTGATTTGTGAACGGCAACCCTTGTAAAATAAGAAAAAGGCATATAAACATTAATGCTAATAAATTAGTTTATTCCACTACAAAGTAATTACTTGATAATACTGAATTTACAGCTTGAATTCAAACGCAATAGTTAACTGTAATGTAGGGAAAATACATAATGAGAATATTTTCTCTGTGCACAACATGATTAGATTTGTTATTAAGTCAGTTACGATAAGCTAAGCAATAAATAAACAAATCGATGTTGACATTTAAATACCGAAGATCTCCAGAATTTACTGGAGAACTTTCTCCGGATATATAAATACTTCCACAACACTGCAGAGGAAGAGGGGGGAAAATCCAAATATTCCTTCCCTAACGTTTTCGTTTCCCTTCCATTAGCCTCCAAAGTCCACGGGGACATGGATCTTGAACTACATCTGATTTCCTAAGAGCACCGACTTCACAATAGCCTTTTGCCTTTCTGTTTTTCTATTTTGATGAAATCCAGCCGGAACCCAAATATTTCTTTTCTGAAATCGAGCATCAGAAGAGCAAAAAAATATTTTCTCCGAGAGCCTAGGGATGTCCATGCCTCAAAAGGTGCTGTATTCTTTGGCGTATTTCTATGTTTTCTTTGGCTCTGCTCATTCGGTGGGCTGTGCATTTTTATTGGCAGAGAAGTAGTTTTTAGTCTCTGCCCTGTTCAATCCGCTTTCTATATCATCCCTTTCATGCAACAATAGTAAAAGTTTAACCACGATTTTAAAATAGGTCTCCCTGGGTCTCAGCCTTCAGCGACGGTACGAAGCAAAAAGGAAAGTATCTCGGTACGGCAAGTTTGTTCCTAGGGGTTAACAGTATGTCAAATAATTTTAACTAGGCTTCTGGCAATTAAACTCTACGTATTTGTCAAACTAGGGTAGCCCAATCTCCTGATTTTCCAAGTATTTGGCGGCAGCGTTGAGGCGGAGAGATCAGCAAACACTCTTTAGCTCCGTGGTCTGCAATTTAAAGGGCTTTCTGGAGTTGCGAAGGAGGCAAGGGACTGTTGGGGGGGGGGGGGGGGAAACCTGCGTCCTGGGAACCCGACGTTGTTAACTACCTCCAGCAAAGCTTGACTGAAGCCGAGCGGGGTATTTGAGGTTAATATGTAAGTAAGGGAAGGAAGACACTAAGCGCTTCGGAAGTGAACATGAATGCAAGCATGTAATCTATTCACCATGAAAATCAGTACAGACTTGACCCTGGCACATTCTTCCTAGTTTCAAGAAAAACCCTGCGGGGCGAGGGCTTTTTTTTTTTTTTTTTTTTTTTTTTTTTTATGTGTGAGAACTCCAACCGAACTAAACCAAACGGGTAAAAAAAAAATGGGGTGTGGGGAAATAAGCCCCCGGTCGGTTCCTTGAGGAGCGTTTCCTGCTCGGCAGCAGCTCTCCAGCAGGAGCCATGCCTGGATCTCTGCCGTGCCCTCCGCCCGGAGCCTGCCGTCCGTCCGGAGAACGCCCCAGCCCGCACACGGCCAGCGGGAAGGTCTCACCCTGCCCTGGTGGAACCGCTAAGGCTGTGCCCCAGCGCCAGCTGGCGGTTCGGTCCGAGCGGCCCGGTCCGGGACTTCGGCAGTGGCCCGGTGTGTCCGTGTCCCCCGGGGCTCCCCCCCCCCCGCGCTCGGCTCGCCCCTGGGCGCCGGCGACGAGCTGTTGCTTCCCCCCGCGCTGGCCACAAAGGGAGCGGGGCCCGGACCCGCCGCTCGTCAATGTCAACGTCGGGCCACGTGACCACACCTCCCTGCCGCCGCCGGGGAGAGCTTTCCACGTCAGCTTACGTCTCCCCATCTCTTACTTCACGGATCTGCTTCAAAGAGGCAGCTGCGTTAGAGAATCATGTTAAGCTCAGCTAATGCGGAGAAGCCGAGGTAGCCCTAATGATGGATTTTGATGAGCGTGTTCCTTGTTCCTCTAACATGTATTTGCCAAGTTGTACTTACTACGTCTCGGGTCCTGATTTTTCCAGCCTCCCTTCTTTTTTGCCCCAGACCCCGTCTTCTCGCCCTATGACATACTCCTACTCCTCCAACCTACCCCAGGTCCAACCTGTGAGAGAAGTTACCTTCAGGGAATATGCCATTGATCCCTCCAGTAAATGGCACCCCAGGAACAATCTGCCCCACTGCTACTCCGCAGAGGAGATCATGCACAGAGACTGCCTGCCTGCCACCAACACTGCTAGCATGGGCGAGATGTTCGGCAAAAACACAGCTAACGTCTACCACCCCAGCAGCAACGTCTCCTCCAATTTCTATAGCACGGTGGGCAGGAACGGGGTCCTGCCCCAGGCTTTCGACCAGTTTTTCGAGACGGCTTATGGCACGGCGGAAAACCTGGCCTCGGCGGACTACTCGGTAGACAAGAGTGGCGAGAAGGCGCCCGCGGCCGCCGGGGCGGCGGCGGCAACTTCAAGTTCGGAGGGCGGCTGCGGCAGGGCGGCGGCGGCGGCGAAGGAGAGGCAGAGGCGGCCGGAGAGCAGCAGCAGCCCGGAGTCATCTTCCGGCAACAATGAGGAGAAATCCGGCAGCTCCAGTACGTATAAAGGCAGCGCCCGAGCGCTTTTAGGAAAGGCAGCTTGAAATCTAGCGCACCGCCGCTGTTAAATTTTTATATGCTGTTTTATAAGCATATAAGGTTTATGAAGGGCCTTTAGATTTCCCCCAACAAAACTTTGTTATAAAAGGCGAGATCACGTGTTTAGTGCTGAAATTGGCCGTGAAATACCCACCGGGTAATGGATGCCTTAAAAAAAAAATCTCTCTCTTTACTTTTTTTTTTTTTTAATAATAATAAAGAAGAGCTCTGTGGTCAGCTCTCGAAAATATAATAACGTCCGTTCGGTGTCTGTAAATTCGGAAAAAAAAAAAAAAAAAGAAAAGAGGAGATCCCGACTCCTTTGATATCAATGTAATCCAGTGATTTTATAAAAGCCATGTGTTGCACCAGAAGTCTAGTTAGGAGCTGAATTCAAAGCCTTAGCCGTTTTAACGATTGCACTAGAATAGCGTTTAACAGATAAAGTAGCCGCCTGAACTGCAGCAATATATTAAAAGAAACAAATTAACCTAAAGCTGGCCTTTTTGTCTAAAGGAAGCCATTTTACTAAAGCACTGTGGCAATTATGTGTTGCCTTCTGTCCAGCAGTTTGTTACTTACAATTGTTATTCAATCTGTCAAAGTCTGATTTTTTTATGTGGGCTTTTTAAAAGGCAAAGCCAAGATATGGCTAGGGGGAAAAATACCTCGACAATGAACTGTACCAGAAAAGGAAGTTTTTAAACGGATAGGAGCTAGGTTTAACGTAAAGAGCTCCTGAACCCTGAAACCTTTTATATTCTGCTTAATGAACTTTAAAACCGTAATGACTAATCGAGAGGAGAATACCTCGATGTTGCTGAGAGCATGCTTGAAAATAGCCGGCTGGGGGAGAATGATGCGCCTTGGCCCTGGGCTCAGGGCTTTTTTCCTCTGCTGGGGATTAACCTAGGGAAGGAGGGCGAGATCCGAGCGGGTACAGGCTCAAAGAAGGCTGGGCGCGGGATCCCCCTGCCCGCTGCCGCCCTGCCAGCAGCAAGCAGCCAGGTGACGGCTGCTCCCTGGGCAGCTCCGTGTGCACGGCGCCCAGCGAAGTACTCTACAAAGGCTTTTCTCCAGGTCGTGAAACCCGCAGGAACCCCCCACCACCAACCCTTCCTCCGGCCGCCCGCCTCACCAAGGCAGTGAGGCCGGATCCCTGCTACCCGCTGGGGCTTTCGCCCTGCCTGACACCTGGGGCAGAGGCTGGTCCCGGCTTGTCCCGCTCCCTGGCTGCCCGCACCGGCCAAGGCGTGGGGCTGGCGCCCAGCCCCGGACCTGCCACCGCCAGCCCTGGAGCGGGCAGAACCCTTCTTTTCCCTGTTAACGTGTTTTTTTGGACTGTGCCCCCCCCCACCTCTCCTCAGCCCCCCGCCAGGTCTCAAATGCTTCTGCCTTTTTTCGCTCCACAGGTGGACAACGTACCCGTAAAAAGAGATGCCCATACACCAAATATCAGATTAGGGAGTTAGAAAGGGAATTCTTCTTCAGTGTCTACATAAACAAAGAGAAACGCCTCCAGCTCTCCCGAATGCTCAATCTGACCGACCGCCAAGTGAAAATATGGTTTCAAAATAGAAGAATGAAAGAAAAAAAAATTAACAGGGACCGATTACAATATTACTCAGCTAATCCACTACTTTAAAACTCATAGCATTTTTCAAGACGAGATTAAATTCAGATTTCGCCCTTGACAAGGTCAAGCCACGGGGTTACATGGAGGGAGGAGGTGTGTATCTGACGGGACTAGAAGAATCCAAGGTTTTACATACATGTAAATCTACTCTGGAACTTCAATGGTGATTTTACATATATCGATATATTTACATATCAACTGGAATCAATTTGATTTTGACACAAATGGCACCCATTTTGGAGCGGGCACGTCACCTCTGGGGGCAAAATCCATACCTCTTACCTTTCCAGGCACTGCTACTCACCCTGCTACCGCTTTCAGGGGACACAGACCGGGGGACGGCATCCTTCTGTCCCCGGACTCGCCCATTCCCTGCCTTCCTTCTCCCCTGGGCGGCTGCGGACCAGGGTCTGGAGATTGCCAGGTCGAGCTCACTCACCTAGGACCACTGCAAATACAAACTCTGAGAAAAAACCTTTTGTTCTTCCTTAGCAGAAAATATGTCTAAGTTAGAGGCAGTGCTCTACTGCCCGTGTGTTTGAAAGGAGAATTTGAGGGGACGCACACCCAACACAGAGAGAATTAAAGGGAGGGGGGGATGACATGCCTACACCTTCCCAAGCCAACCGCTAGCAGTTGTAATGTGGATGTAGTGATGGTTCTAATAATGTTTCCTTTGGGGGTGTGGGGAGGAAAGGGCTAGGGGAAAGAAAGAGAACTAAATGAAAGACTTAATTATTTACTGAAAAAAAAAATCAGGTATAAATTCGCCATATATCGTAAAGAAACAATCACTGAAAGAAGAAATTAGCAGATTTTTAGCTCTTGTATTATTTATGACAACTGACTATGCGTTGCCATCTTTTAGGAGACAAATCATATTTAAATACTAAAAATAAAAAGGGGGGAGGGGAGAGAAGTGTGAATTTAAGTGTTTTAAAAGAAACAACTCCATAAAGGAAACTAACCTTCTGGCTTCTGGCTCACAAACTTTCTTCAGGAAATACCTGTGGAGAACGACAGTTTAGCAAACACCACACAACACTAATTGAAACTTGGAGTTGTGCAATGCACTAACATTGGATCATTAAAATAACCCCATCGCATGTTCTTTTGAAAGTGACTAGTGAAGAGTTTAAACAGAAACCAAACAATGTAAATATGGTAATTTTGTTGTTGTCTACTTTAAATGTCAAGAGCTCTACTTTGTAGCCCAGTCGACATATGCAAAGAATTGAGAGATGTTCGGACTTATTTTAAGTATATATAAATATATATATTTCCCTGCAGGAACCAAAGCGTAAAAGAAATAAAAAAAAAAGGAAAAAAAAAAAACCCACACAAAAAAAACCCACAACCACCCAAGAAATAAAAAAACCCTGAAATTAAAAAAAAAAAAAGAAAATATATATTAAAAAAAAGGAAAATATTTAAAATTCTTCATCAGTTTACAAAGGATACTGTGTTCTATCGTTAAGGTAATTTGCTGTTGAGAGTATCTGAATGTATATTTCATACAGGAATGGTGTTTTACAAGACTTGTAAATAATAAAAGAAGAACTCATGACCTATTTTGTTCGAATGCCTTTCTCCCCCTCCCGTTTTTTGTGTTGTTGTTCCTTTGGGGCTAAAGGGTTTGGGATTTCTTTACATGTGCAACAAAGTGGTGATAAGAATGTTTTTTGATTAATAAATTTACCAAATGGATGTAATTTCTTTGTCACGGTTCACGAAATGCAATATCTTGATATGACATCACTGTTTTAAACATGTATCATCTATATGTATATACAGTTTTCTTTTAATATGCGAAGTATTTGGTTGCATGTATACAGTGGAACAGCGCACAAGGAAAATAAAAAAATGGAAACTTTATATTTTTACTCTGGTGTTAAGTTACTGCATGTTCTTTTATCTGATGTAACTCTGGGACCCGAAATTCCTTGTGACCTTGTTCAGACATTTGGGGAGAATTATTCTTCTTTTGGGAACTTCGCTGCTAAATCTTCTGCTCTGGAGTTAGCAAGTGAACCTGGGCTTGCTCAAGCGTCGTTTTAGGGGGCCGCAGGAAGACGATAATGAAGTATGTTGGTAGCTCGCTATGACTTAGGCCTTTTTCTTACCCTACCAAGGCTGGTAAGGCAATGTTCTATGCTGAAGGGTTTGATGTGACATTGCCGCTTGCTCCCCACCACATGCGTCCAGGAGAACTCCTTGGGAAATGCTGGTGGTGTCAGTAGCGTTTGGGATAGGTTTTATAAGCCAAAGGGAATTTGTAACCAAAGGGAAGGTCTAAGCCAGCTGATGGATGTTGAGCCCTCAGAAAATTGTTGTCTTTGAAAAAAAAAAAAAAAAAAAAGGCATGTGGTGGAAAATGGACTGTTTGAAATTGTCCTTGATCTCCAAGGCAGGGAGGAGGTGGACTGAGGCGGGCAGGGGGAGCGAAGGGGAGGAGGGCTGGAGGGAGAAATTTAGGGGAGGGAGGGGGTGAGAAAACCCCAAACAATAGCTGAGATATGAATGTGTTTTGAGAAGAGTTTGAAACTTTCATGTTGACCCTAATCCTAAGCAGGAGAAGAAAGTACATTCTGTTTTCACATTGTTTACTGGCTTTGAACTTCTGTATTGCTTGGACATCACCCATAACCTTGAGGTGAAGGACTTACTGACTTTGGGCCTTTGTTGACAACTGCCACCTAGCCAGGCAACCTCTGCCCAAAGGAGATGTTAAAAAGTGAGCGAGGAAAAGGGGACTTTTTGTTTGTTTGTTTGCCTAGTGTACAAGGAGTGATGCCAGTTAAAAGGAGATGGACAGAGGGACAGGCAGTGGGAGAGGGACAGAGGGACAGATGGTGAGCTAAATGGCAATGTAAGTTAAGTCAGCAAGCTTCTTTTCTGGTTAAAAATTAACTGGCATTCCTAGCCAATCCCAGAGACACTTAAGCCATGGAGTTTCTCTGGTCGGGGTTATGATTTCCTAGCCCAATAAAATCGCATCCTCTGTGTTGTTGTGACAATGTGGTCGTAAAAAATGTCCGTGACTTGTCCGTTCGCCTGCACGAAATACATCTCTATAAAGGCAGCGGAGCTTTCCCCACCGAGAGGTGAGTGGCCACTTGCCCTCCACCATCCATCTGTCTGTCCGTCCGCCTGCACGCCGTCCTGCCGCGGGGCCCCGCGGCAGGACGGCGTGCAGGCGGACGGACAGACGGCGGCGGTTTGAAGGCTGTTTTGCCACAAGATGGCGATCTTCAGATCAATGTCAAAGCCGCCCAAGGAGACGGGAGCAGCCCTGCAAAAAAAAATCTTGGCCTTTGTTCATTTTGCATCCCTGGAGCCGCACGGATAATTATTGCACTTACCGGGCTCCGCGTTACAAAAAGCCGCTCGGGATGCCGGGGGAGGGGAGGGAGCTGCCGGGGCTTCTCGGTGGAGTTAAAGCCTCTGAGCTTTGGATTGAAACATGGGCGGAGGTAAGTGTTTTATCCATCTACCCTGAGTGGAGAAGGGAGAGGAGAGGGCACTGGTCGCGGTGGTCCTCAGCCAGCTGGGGTGGCCCCGGATCCAAGGACGGAGCACAACGGAAAATAACCCTAGGGAAGGAAAGCAATGCAAAAAGTTGGTGATTACGACGTGAAATAATATAGAAGGGGCTTTCTGAGTTGCAGTTGACCTTTTACTTTCTCTTCGTAAAGTTTTGGCCATCAGCGTGGAAAAACCCACGTTATCTGGAAATATTTCTTCAGAGTAACTTGTAGTTTTCTTCCAGTTATAAAAAATTTGTAACACTGGAAATATTATGAAACTTGACATTTATGTCTGGAACAGTAGGTGTCTTCAATCAAATAGATCTATGGCAACAGAGACTGCAAATGACAGACAACTCTGATGATCTTATTGGACTTGAACTGTAGTTTAGCTGGGGTCGTTTGGAAACTTTAAAGGATAGGCTGCTTCCTTGCAGCTGGACACAGGCTGTGGTAAACAAATTTTGACACACTTAGGCTAAAAACTCTTTATGTGATTGCATATGCAGTCAATGTTTATATGAGACCAGAGTTAGATTTCCTCTATCTATCTGTTTGTCTATCTATCTGTCTATCTATCTATCTATCTAAAACAGCACATGGGCTGTAAACAAACAATAGTCACGCATTCTCATGTGCTCAGGGCTGCTCTGGGTTGTAGCTTTGAAACTCTATCCTGGCTACGAGTATCCCTAACTCCAGGTTACTTTTCTCACCCATAAAAGTTTCACTTGTTTTTGTTATGTCTCCATTTGAGAAGGGCTGGAGAGAAGGTGATATTATATGGAGGAGATACTTGTTTGGCTGCATATTTTAATTCACGTGTCTCTTAGGAGAGATATTCAATTTAGAAATATATGTCGGGGGACGAAAAAAAAAAGAAAGAAAGAAAGGGAAAAAAAAAAAAGGTCATTTTATCCTTGCTCTCTCATGTAAAGTAATGCAACTTGTCTGTAGTATTCTTAAAGAAAGCGCCCTTTTGCTCTCAGGGAACTGTTGCAAGTGTAGTTAAAAGCACATGCTCAGTCGGTAGAGAGCTGGTTTGAAATGCCTTTCGGAACCGATCGATTTCATCAAAGATGCTGCATTAAAAGCTCGGGAATGTTTCTCTTTAACCTCCCTTTAGCAACGCCAAGAAGTGAGAAGCAACGCCTAGGAAAATAGCAGGATGAGTTGAGGGTCCCTTTGCAACATTTCATTTTACACCAGTCAAGTTAAACTCAGCATATTTGATCAAATATTTATTTTTCCCCTCGTTGTTTCCCTGCCCCATTCAATACTCGGCTGAATAAATCAAAGGGACCCTAGCAGCAGTTAAAGCGCCCTCTGGTTACGGATTTTTTACTGACGGCCGCAGTCACAGGATAATATTTAAAAAAAACAAACTTGTTTCTTACAATAACTGTTTATTATTTCACATGATTTGGGTTTGCATATTTTGGAGGGAAGTGGCGAAGCCAACTCAGTGTCTACACTGTGTTTAATTAATCGTGTACTCAACTTCAGCTCACATACCACATTCAAACCCCTGGGAGGCTTTTTCATAAACTCTTTGGGTTTCTGTTTTGTTGTCTTCTTATTTTTTTTTTTTTGTCACAATCTTTTCATTAAATGCTCTGAAATCGAAACTTCAGGCCAAAGTGTGTGTCTGAGAGCCAAGTTGTACCGCAACCAAAAAAGACATTTGTGTATGCATCCAGATCTTTTTTAAAGGAAAGACAGCTACAAAAAGGGGAGAAGGGATACAGTTTCAAATGCCTAATACAGCTGTGCGGCCCATCTCTTACAGCAGAAGGGGTACACTTAAAAGACGAGCTGGGGTATATACGATTTCCCTGACACATGTTATAACCCGATACTGCTGTTGCTTCTGCCTGGCGTTCGGGGCTCTCTGGACAATAGAAAGCCCCGTTGTTCTCGCCGGTGCCGAGGAAAGGCGAGGAGATGAAGTCCTAATGAGTTGGTTGGGTGTATTTTGTCCTGCCACACACTAGAGTTTAGAGCTCGTCGGACTTACTTGCAAAATATGCTCCTAATCCAAATGAGTAAAACGATACACATATACTATAAAACATGGTTAGGAGAACAAGCCTCCGGATGGCTGGAATAAAATTAAATCTCAGCCTAAGTTTTAACAGGATAATCCGCCAAAACAAGCCAACCTCACCACCACAACCAGCATGAAAGAATTTATAGTAAAGATAAAATTAGTGGGGCCGTCATTTGTCACCTAACTTGGCACAGACACAGTTCCTAAACCTCCTGTTTGAAATCCGCCTTCTTTGGAGTAATTCCAGGAAAAAAAAAAAAACAACAACAAAACCAACAAAAAACCCACCACACAAAAGGAGGAATCTGGCACACACGCACGTTCTTGACAACTGACAGTTCCAGTATTAAATAACTATACTCTGATTGCATTAATTTTTGGAGCTGTATAAAACGTAATTCGCGGCTGTATTCTCAGATAGGCGGTGCATGCACTCCTGCAACAGCCTGCAAGGCCATTTATGTTTTCACGAATTGCCGTTTGCCCGTGTCTACAAATAAAAGCATATTTTAATTAGCTGGCAAAACGCGTCTATGGATTAACAGTGCTGATCTTTTGGGTTATACAAGCCAATAATAAAAAGATAAATCACAGTTTAACATGATCCATTTTGCGATTTCCAGTCAGAGTTTGCTCAGGCTGAGCTGTCGGGTTTTATTTATTCCCTTTTTGTTTTTAATTTTAGTCCCACCAATAAAACGGCTTAACGACGCTATTAATGTATCTATCATATTTTTCTTAGATCAATAAAGTTTTATTTTGATATTGTTGTCTATGTACGCCATGAATTTAGATTCTCCATGAAAGCACCTCCTCGCCGGTTTTGATATTTATCAGGATTTTATTTGCTCGGTTTTATAGACCCTCGGATAGCTTTACTTACAGGAGTAGAATTAAAAAGAAAGTATTTCACGTCCCCTGGCGTCCACAATATTCTTTAAAATTTCATTTAAATGGAGGTTAAGCTCCAAGGGACACATTGTTAAGGGTTGGAAATGCAGTAGCTACACCCAGCGCATGCCAAATTAGCTCCGTTTAGTCAGAATTGACCATTATCTTTTATAGTTTCGAATCAAGCGAACATTATTAGTTTTACTTCACTGGGTTTGACGATGCTGGTTACTATTTGCCTTGGCCTTGTTAGCGATTAAAGAAAGCGGAGATAATGCCACTCCGAGCTGAGTTCATGATCTAGACAGAGCCTGTGCCTTGACCATCAAACCAACAATGGACACCGCTTCTAAGACCGCACAACCGGGTCCCGCCAACGGAAGCTCCCGCAGGGCCTGGCATTCTCCAAGGGCGGGCAACCCCCAGCCTTCTGCTGCAAAAGCCACGAGGAGAGCCCAAGAAAACTTTAAACCTTCCAAACTGTCCCCGGCCTCCACGCCTTTTGTCTGATTTCCCTGGACTGGCCTGCAAAGAGGGAGAAGAAGCCAACTCGTGTTTCTTCCAGAGCATTTCGAGTCTTTTCATTCCGGCTGACGAGGACGTCCTTTTATAGGCCTTTTCCCCCTTTAATCCAATTTTTTTTTTTTTTTTTTTTTTAAGGGAGCTGCTTGTCTTAAAAACAGCTTTGGAAGGATTTCAAGTGTTGCTCCTTGGTTCCGTATGGCTTTTAGGTTTGCAATCCATTTCTATTTAATTTGGCAAATGCAAAATAAACATACCGCAAGAGCGGACTTCCCCGGAGTAATTTTTGTACCTGACTTGTGCAGAGAAATGGATTTGGAAGGCGGCGTTGGGGCTCACGTTTCATTTTATTTAGATCTGTATTTATAACTCTAAGCCTATTGATAATAGCCTTCCTTTATACCAGCCAATAAACCCGCGTCTTATGTAGTATTAATTTTGTTAGCACCGATATGACCCGCGTAGGAATCTGATAAGGGTTTGTCCGTCGCACATTAACACATCGCGGGGTTAGTCGGGTTGGGAAAACACAAACAATATTACAGGACGAAATACGGGAACGAAATAACCCACGGAGGGTTTCCATAGGTTGTGGGGTCTACCCCAGTCACTGCATCCTACGGGCCGGTCAGAAAGAAGCCGCGCTGTGATGCTTGCCCCACCTCACTGGAAAAACCAGGCGCCTTTGCAGAAGGATTTTATGGGTGTTGCAAAGTTGTAGGTAGAAGCCTCCGCCCGCTCCCCCTGCGCTTTCAGCGGGCGCGGAGGGAGGTTGAGGAGGACCCCTCCGGCTCGGCGGGCCCGCGGAAGGGACACTCACCACCTCCCGCCGTAAGGAGGAGGGGGGAGGAATTCTCCGGGGGAATGTCACTCCGCGGAAAAAGCGTTTCCCCGTGGCAGGCACACACTGCAGGGCGAGACCACGTGGGGGCTTAACAGATCCGTGGGCTGGAGGGGAACGGTTGCTCCTCGGGGCGGCTTGAAAGCTGAGGGCTGGCACCAAGGGATGCTGGGTCCACCGCCCGCTCCGCCGCCACCCTGCCCGCAGGCAGCGGCCCCGCCGCCGCCGCCGCCAGCACCCTCTTGGGCATGGCAGCTGATGCCAAGCCGCTTCCATCGCCCCGGCCGGTGCTGATGCCCGGCCGGCAGCCTCTTTCCCCGCCTGCTCCACTGGGGACGGAGACCGACCAGACTGCTTCCCCCGGCAGCGTGAGGGAGAGGGGAGCGAGCCTGGCTACTCGGGGTGGCCAGAAAGCGTCGGGCAGCCTCAGTCTCCCTTTAAGCCCGAGTTCCGCGGACCAGGCAGTGAGGCGACTTCGAAACGGCATAAGAGAGAGATGATGGACGTGAAAGCAAGCCATAATTAAACAATTCATTAGAAAATCTATCTGTCTCTCTGTCTGCTTCCCTGTCTGTCTGCTGTCTGCTCCCTCCGCCACAACTGCAAATTGACTGGACCAGGCTGTCTAGTATCTCAGAATTCATCTAGTTATTTCTATTATTTAGTACATTGCTTGTGAAAGAGACGGTGCTTTTGAAGAGGCAAAAAGTGAATGACCCAAGGGGGGAGGGAGATAAAAATGATCGCTCAAATATAAACACATCAATAAACAGGGTCCGCAGCATCCTGCGAGGATCCATTTGAACTGCTAGCGCCCGGATTCTTTCTGTGGCATATGTCTAGCTTTATATTTTAAATGGTAATCAGACCTCTGGAAGAATCCAACGTTAACTAAAGCATTCGGAACTGCAACCGCACAATCAATCCTCCCAGAATGGCATTGCTCCCTAAGAAATTCTTCAGCGCAGCAGCAATCATTTTATCTCCAGGAAATTTAAGCCTAGCCTGGCGTCGTGGCGGTGATGTTAGGCTGGAAGCAGCCCCCTTCCTCAGCAGTTTAACACGAGAGGCACTAGGCCCCTTTACGGTTTCCAATGATCCGTGATAAACAACAACACGTCTTTTATATCTTAAAAAAACGAGACAATTAAATAAAATGAGCAGAGCCTGAGCATAAAACACCGGGCGAGCCGGGCTTTATTAATTTCGTGAGACACACACAGGCTTCCCAGGAAGGTGAGCAGGCACTGCCGCCGGAAAGCCTAACCGCGGGGAGAAAGGAGCAATAGTAAAAGCTTCATCTGGACACCGTTTCAGCCTAGGTATAATAAAAATCAGGACCGCCGGGCTATTTTATAGCGGAGAGTGTGATAAGAAAGGAGCAAAACTTGGAGACAGCACAGGCAAAGCCAGCTCCTTGCCTTTCTCCTTCCCCTTTGCTTCCCAGGATCGCGGCTCCGGACTGGGCGCAGGCGCTTGCCCATATGGACGAAGCGTGTGAGCCAGTGTCTATGGAAATCCATATTACACATTAATATCCATCTATCTCCCAAATTCAGAGGTCGACCTGAGAGCAGCTCTGTGCATACGAAACCAGACGGGGAGGGGTTGCTGGGGAGGCCCGGGCTTCCATTGGCTGCAAGCGTTTGCCGTTGTGCGGGGGTATCTCTAATCATATTCAGCATGTTTTGCACAAGAAATGTCAGCCAGGAAGGGCTATCTGCTCCCTTCGCCAAATTATTCCACAACAATGTCATGCTCCGAGAGCCCGGCTGCAAACTCTTTTTTGGTAGACTCCTTGATCAGCTCGGGCAGAGGGGAAGCGGCGGGAGCAGGAGGAGGAGGCGGAGGAGGAGGCGGCTACTACCCCAGCAGTGGTATCTACCTGCCACAGCCGTCCGATCTGTCCTACGGGCTACAAAACTGCGGACTTTTCCCTGTTTTGAGCAAACGCAATGAAGGTGCTTCTCAAAGCATGGTCCCCAGCTCGCACCCCTACGTGTCAGGGATGGAAGTGTGGCTAGACCCTCCCCGGTCCTGTCGCATGGAAGAGCCGGAGAGCCAGCAGGCCACCTCGTGCTCCTTTGCTCCAAGCATTAAGGAAGAGAGCTCCTACTGCCTCTATGACTCAGAGAAATGCCCGAAGGGCTCGGCTACCACAGATCTCGCTCCTTTCCCTCGGCTGAGTGCCGAGGTCAACCCAGCCGGCAGCGGCGGCGGGGTCCCCGTCCCGGGCTACTTCCGCCTTTCCCAGTCTTATGGCACCTCCAAGACCTACGGCGCGGGGTCGGCCGGGGCTGCCCCCTTCCCTCTGCAGCCCCCCAGCCGCTTCCAGACGCCTCCATCTTTGCCTCCTGTCCCGGACGCGGGGAGGAAGGAGGACGAGGAGCGCTCTCCCAGCCCCTTGGCGTGTGTCTCCCAGAGGGAGGACGAGACTCAGGCTTCATCTTCCACCGCAGAGGAGCTCTCTCCAGCTCCGTCAGAGAGCAGCAAAGCCTCTCCCGAGAAAGAGCCCGTAGGTAAGCGAATGGTGATGATGGTGATGGTGGTAGTGATGATTAAAAAAAAAAAAAAACAGAAAAAGAAAGAAAAAAAACTGTTGAGGATCATAGCGGCATCGCGATGCAAAAGGAGGATCCCAGCTGCCCCGCGGGGCTGCCAAGAAGCGCTGCTCAGACTGACCTTCTGAACTTCGTAATATTAGGGCATGGGGTTGCCGTAAAAATTAATGTCCATCCTATAGCTTAAACCCCTTAGAGTCTCCGCTCTGGGCAACTTTAGCCCGCATGCTGCTTAAACATATAGAAAAACAAGATCAATCTTTCCCCTGTGATGTGAAGGTGCCTACCAGATAACAGAGATGTTTGTAAAGCATCCAAAATAAGCAATAGGCAGTGCCAATAAATAAACCTATTAACTCGGTAAGTTATATTTTACGATCCAGAATGCTTTTCGGAATAACAGCCGCGCTGAAATGTGCCATCTATGAACTGCCATCAAATTAGACTGATGAATGCACCGCGAATATCCTTCAACGTCTACACTAGATAACAGGGTTGTTATTTATTCATTCGCTTCTTTATTTCCCTTTCGGCTCCCCATGGCAAAAAAAAAAAAAAAAAAACTCCCCTTCCCTGGGTGGCAGACTTTGCAGGCGCTTCTCTCCGTCTGCGTTTCAGACGCCCTGTTATTCCTTCAGAGGGCCACACTGGAAAATGATAAGGTCAAAACAAAACAAGAAAGAGGAAAACTACTAGAGAGACAACCCCAAACCAAGAACCACTCTGAGCCATCGAGGGATCAGTGTTACCTCTTTCCTAGCCACTTCCAGTGATAGGAATAAACAGCCTGTAACGGGGGAATTTTAGTTTTGAGGGTTTTGGTGTGTTTTTTGGTTTATTTTGTTTTTTTTCCTTCCCAGAAACGGTTGGATAAGAGAGGGCCGAGGCGAAGCTCCCCGGGAAGGCAGGGAGGCTCCGACTCCTCAGCTCACCTTGTTTTCTAACTCCAGAGCATGCTTGTAAAGTTCAGATCCGCACAGGCTTTGTTTTTCGGAAGCAGGTGCCTGAGGCTGCGTGAAATAAACCTCCAGGCCATTTATCAAACGACCCCCAGTAGCAGTGGGCTCGGAGAGGCCGAGGGGAAACTAGTAAAAGCCTGTTTTGGAGGGTCGGAGATGAACTACTAAGCGGGCACTCTGCCCTGCCCGAGGCTGGCCGGAGATTTTTGAGGAAAGGCAGATCCTCTGCGGATTCAGGATCATTGGGAAACCGGTTTGAAGCTCTCGGTTCCCACAAAGTGCCCGCAAGTGACAGAGCGAGCTTCCCAAACACACACCGGCACACACACAGATGCTCCTTCCACCCTGTCCCTTCCTGGCTCATTGCCTCCTACCCGCTGGTAACGTCCCTTTTTTACTTTCTCAAAACTAGGAAATTCAAAAGGAGAAAATGCAGCAAACTGGCTCACGGCAAAAAGTGGCAGAAAGAAACGGTGCCCCTATACCAAGCATCAAACTCTCGAGCTGGAAAAGGAGTTTCTGTTCAATATGTACCTGACTCGTGAGCGTCGCCTAGAGATCAGCCGCACAGTCCACCTCACAGACAGACAAGTTAAAATCTGGTTTCAGAACCGCAGAATGAAACTGAAGAAAATGAACAGAGAGAATAGGATTCGGGAGCTCACAGCCAACTTTAATTTCTCTTGATGAATCCATAAACATATCTTTATGGTTTAAAGAGCCAGTATCATTTTCCTAGGCTGTAGTCATCCGCACCTGTATGGATTAACGATTTTAGGGGCTCTCAATATGTCCTTAACCTCTTAAGAACTACTTTGGAGTGGGAAGGAAGGGTGAGGGAACACGACTAAAGCTAACTTAATGCACAAAATGCCGTGCGTGAACCTCTCCGCTTCCTTCGGCCTTTCCGGGGACCGGCTTGTTCCTTTAAGCTTTGAAACACAGAAATGCCATTTCGGGAGCTGCAAATATCTTTCCCCCCATATCTCTCTCTCTGAAAAGTAAATAAGCTTGGTTAAAGGCGTATTCTTTAAAATTAGAAGCGGTATAACTTGAACTGTACGTAGCTGCACAGTGAAGAATTTAAGCCTTGACATATTTCTATATATTGGGAGCTTTCTTCCCCTCCCCCTTTTCCTTCGAAAAGCAGACTTACAATAATGAAATGCAGGCATACTTTAACAGGGCTTCATGGGAACGGGTGTTAAGAGAGATTTTTTTTATTTTTTTTTTTCGCTTTACCTTAAAAGTAAACATTACAGCTTTAAATTGGCCAGGAAAATGAAATCTCTTCTCTTTAAAGGTATAAAAGCGTTCGTGTTGCTCATGGACTAAATTATGACACTTACCTCTGAATTTCTCTCTCTCTTTCTGGTTGTAGATATTTACTTAACGTAGTTTCGCTTAAATACGTGGAATTAGTGATCTTTTTCTGTCTATAAATAACGTTACCGTTGGTAACGCATGACAAGCACACAGAAATTCCCCTTTGAGAAGGAAGTGGTCACTTTTTCCTCACTAATTTCACTGAAAACTATATATCTTGATCATCAGACGGACTTTCTGAGCCAGAGTCTGAGATTGCGAGGGAGGAAATGTTCGTCTTCCTTTATACTGTGAAGTTACATGCATTAAAGGGTCAAACATATAGGTGAAAAAAAAATTTAAAAAAATAGAAAAAGAAAGAAAAAAGGGGAAAAGCTATAAATACAGATATGTATAAATGTCTATTATTATTAAAATGCCGATACTGTTTTAAGCAAATGCATTCTATCGTTATTATAAATGTTAGTTCTAGCTATATCTAGTTCTTACCTTAAATCGGAATAAATTAATATTGTAATGCTGCTGTGCGTGAAAAAAGACGATGTTTATGTTCTCATAGAAGAATAAAATACCGTTGAATGAATCCTTTTAATTTTACCTCTTTTTGTGACTGTTTATCCTCAGGTTCTACTTTATGTCTTTGAGAACTTTTACAACAGGAATAGTTGCCTAAACCCCCTGCAATTACTTTAGGAATCTATTTAAATATTACCTAGACGGTCGTAATTTGTCTGGGCCATATAGCGATGGTGCTCTAAGGTTTGTCGGCTTTTGTTCAGTTTTATGACTTGCTAGTATATCTGGATTGTTGCTGTCTTGAACGAGTGGTTTCAGTTGACTGAGGAGCTGCATAGACTGAGGAAGCAAATTACTATTTCTTGAGGGTAGGGAAATGATTTTTTTTTTTCTTTAATCAAACACCTACATGTGTGCGGAGATCTTTTACACCAGAGGACGGTGACAAAATTCTAGCTTTATCTCAGGGCTGAGAAGAAATCGTAAAGGTGAGCTCATGGGGGGGGGGACGGGACACCCCAGCCTCCCCTCCCTATCAGTGGGCCCCTCCAGACAAGACTATTCGCTACCTGGCTGCATGTGGAAGAGCTTATTTCACCTATACTGCTTTGGGGTTTTATTGGTTGGGCTTTTTTTTTGTTTGCTTTGCATCCTCCCTTCTTTGCTGCATGTTTAACTGATGGAGTCTTGCACAAAGGGAAGGCAAAAAGAGGTCTGGGAGAAGAGAGAGAGCTAATGCTTCCTTGCGGGGCTATGTATGCTGGGAGGAGGGGGAGACAGACTTTGAACCCTGGCTCCTTGGGAGCCTTTAGCTTCTCGTGATGTTAACATTGGCGTGCATGGCCTTTTTCTTCCCGATTGCATCTGCATGGAGAGGCGAAAGCTGCCCGGGAAGGGTGGGGTGGTGATGGTGATGTTACTATATATTTTTCTTGTTTTCATTAACCCACCCGAGGCTGGCTGGGGACCGCGGAGGGGCGGCGGCTGGGCGGGCGGGAGAGAGGGATGTTTCAGTTATGTTTCTGGTTTTATTTTTGTAGCGGGATCCTTGCGTTAAGGACCACGGCAATGGGAAAGTAATAATTAGCGTCTGAGAACTGCTCTGTGGTTTAGGTAGTTTCATGTTGTTGGGGCTCCACCTTTCTCTCTACAGCACGAAACTGCCTTAATTACTTCAGTTGATATCATCACCAGGTATGCTTGGTGCGAGGGTCCTTTCTGCCCGAAGAAATCTTAGCGCTGAACTGATCTGTAGGCGTCAAGTCCCAATGCCATTGTTCCCCATCTGCAACGGAGCCTCCTTTGATTCCTCAGATAAACACGGCAGCCGAGGGGGGAAGCTTGGCAAGTTCTTCAAGGTTAGCTAGCTCCTAAGCGAGTCCCTGCCTGTTTGCGGGATTTTAATATATCTCGTAGGCTGCATTCAAGGTCAGGTGCGTTTTTGTATTCCGCTCTGCGTGCGTCGAGCTCGGGGGGCTGGAGAAGCGGGGGGGGGGGGGGGGGGGGAAATACTCTTTATATTTCTCTGTCTGGATTTATTAAAAAACAGAGACTCGAAAGCCTGCCTGGGGGAGGGAATGGGGAGAGATCAAGTCTGCCGGCCCCGTTCCGCGTATCCATCACAAACAAGGCCCCGGAACACAGGGGCAGTGGCCGATCGGACCCCACTCGGAGTGCGGGTGCGCGGCCCCGCCGGCGGCTCTACTCCATGTTGGGGGTGTCTATTGCCCGCCTGGGCCTGTCGCGGGGCTCGGCCAACCCCGCGCTACCTCCCGTCAGATCCGCTCCCCCGGGGCATCCCCGCGGCCCGCAAGGCCTCGGTTACGATCACGACTGCGGCGCGGTCGCTCTCCGCGGAGGCGGAACGGGCAACAGCGACCTCTCCGGGCCCGCCGCCGCTGCCACCACAGCCGTCTTTTGTGTCCGCAGAGCGGCCGCTGGCAGGGGCGGTCTCCCGCCGGGCCCTCCGCCAGTTTCGGCACCGCAGCGAAGCGGGGCACCCTCGGCAGCAGGAAGGCAGGCAGGGGAAAGTGCAGAAAACTCGGTCTCAGTGTGTACGCATTTCTACTTATTTTGTAGTGACTGTGATTATTTTTGCCTAAAAAAAAATAAAAACCCAACCCAACTTTCTCAAAACTCGAAATGGGATGCGGGAACTCGGAGGAGTTTGGCTAACGGATTTATCTAGACCCATCCTAGCCTTCCTCAGAGAAGGAGGTGTTCATGGCTGGAACAGGAACAGAATTCGACGTTGCAGTCAAATTTAAGTGTTCATGTCTGCCTCTACCCACACTGCACATCTGACGGGCTATCTGCTGTGATCGTGCTCGGAGTGTGTTTACAGTGTGTATGTCCGTGCCTGCCTCTGCGGTCTTTGTACATAGGTTTGCCTCTGCTTTTTATTTCTCTTCTTTTTTTTTTTCCAGCATCATCCTGATTTTTGATTCCTTTACCCTAATTCTGGGTTTTCATTTTCTCTCCGCCATTGCGAGAATACCTCCGTGCATTCGTAGCACTGGCGATTCCGTGAGAGAGAGATTTGCGGTGGCAGGAAACCCTAGGGAAAGGCGATCCTGAACTTCCCGTTCAGGAGTGTTTGCCAAGTCCCGTGCATTCCTGCCCCGCGCCCGCGCAGCGCCTTCTGCTAAAGTAACAGGGCTTACAGATACCCTTCGCTTAAGAACCGACAGTGTCCTTCCTCTTGCAGCCGGGGGTAAAAGGCAGTAGGGTGGGACCTCTGCTAACTTGGTTATATCGAGGTGGAGAGCAGGGTGTATTTTTGTCCAGGCACGATGGCTCCAACGGTGCTTCGTCCCTGGGAATTCGGATTTCATTGTGCAATTTTATGTGAACGTTGGGAGGCTTTTGCCTCCGAGTGTCTGAGCCACCAAAACCTTCAGTAATTTGCAACGCAAATGGTGGGGAGCCCCCGCTAGCCTTGGTGGCTAGCCTGCAAAATGGGCTTTGAGGAAAAAAGGAGTCTAAAAAGACGAAAAGAGAGACGAATGCCCCAGCGTTATTATCAGCAACGTGACCTCGTGAAAAACGCCTATAATTATTTGCTGTATTTTATCCCTTGCTCTCTGTACACCCGCTCCTGCCACTTGGCCTCTGACAGCGAGCAAAGGCAGAATTTTACAGGGAAATAAAAATGCAGGCACTTTCTTTAAAGCATTACTGTTATTGTTATTCATTTGCTATTATTTTTGGTGGGCAACCAAAAAAATGAAACCCACTGCAAGTCGAGAACCCAAATTCGAATATAAACATCCAGGACTCCTGCAGCTAAGATTATTTTTTCTGAATGGAAAAAGGAAGTTCTACAATCACATTTCACCACAGCTGACTCTCAATAATAAATACAAATGACGTCGAGTTCCGTCTTTCCAGGAAAGAAATACAGTTATTTTGTATTATTATGGCGTGTCTACACAATGGCAAAAAAAAAAAAAAAAAAAAGAGGAGAGATTTATTTGCATCTTTTAAATTATTAGAAAATAACGGGCTCCTTGTTTGTGGAGATCTTGCAACTGTTCCGTAATTTTCGAACTCTAATGGGGGATAATAGTTTCATTATGGGCCTTTGTAATAGTGAATGGGGGGAGAGAGCGTTGTTAAAATCGGATCTCTGTAAGATTTCAGATTAAACTGTTGGGAAGACATGAAAAGAAAAAGAAAGAGAGAAAGAGAGAGGGGGAGCGGGAGAGGGAGAGAGGCAGCCACACAGTGATGTAAAACTAATTAGAACCACACTTTCGCATGCACAATATTTACACGTGATTTTAATTATTACTCAGCCGTCCCTACCATTCGCCGGGCTCTATTTTCAATAAAAGCTATTTCGAGTAAATTGAGCCACTCGCCGAGATTTTTTGTGCTCCCTGCATTCTACTGACCGCGCTCCTTCGCCAACCGCGGGGATAAACAGCGTGAGCCTCCGCCGGAGGAGAAAACCCAGGGAGTCGCAGGCGTGTTTGCAGAGCGCTCAGCCACGACTTTAATTCCTAACACTGGACTTGGATCTGTCCGCCTCTTACTTTCCCCCCGCGCACCCTCCCCTCTTGTAACCCTCCACTCGGTTTCCGATGCCGCTAGCGTGTGTCCTGCAGTCAAAAGGAGGTGCCAGCAAATAACTGTATTTGCACATAAATTTGATTCACCAGATTGCGGGACGGCCGACTGTGAGCGCCCCTTTGATAGCCGCCCGGAGAAGCAGGGTGCCTTTCGGCAGCGGGGAGACGGGGCTTTTTCACCCTTTTCCCCCTGCTGCTTCCCTGCATCGTTAAAGAATTAATCGTCGTGATAAATTCCGGCGTCCGGCTCTGACCGCACTCCTTCCCTCCCGGCCGGGACGAAGTCTCCGTTCACCTCCGGCCGCTCAGCCCCGGCTCCTCTCCCCGGCCTGGCTAGGGTGCCCCCGCTCGCAGCGGCCCTATCCAAGGGCAGGGGCGGGCAGGCACGGAGGGGAGGACTCAGAGGGTGTTCCGGTCACTGCCGCGATCTCCCCGGCCGGGTGGGGTGCGTGATGAAGTGCAGTTTGGTGCGGGCCAGCCCAAACACCCGAGCCAGCCCCTGCCGCTGTGCTCCTCCGTCCCGGCGGCCGGGTTGCTGGAAGGGGGTAAGTTGAATTTGACTTTTCGCTGCTGGCTCTGCTCTGAACGGAACGGTATTATTTACAGTGAGTTCCCAAACTAAACACAATAGTATAATTTAACCTTTCCAAACACTCGTAAATTTTTACTGCTGTGAAACACAGCGATGCAAATGAGCACGCTCATAGTTACTGACTTAATAACAACCCCGTGGTTCCTGAAACAATAACTCCTTATGAAATATAATAAATACATATTTGACTACACTACACCGCAACTGCTATTTTGTTGTTTTTTAGTTCTTTTGTTTTGTTTTATTATTGTATCATTTTATGTGAAGGTCTCAGATCACAAGGGTGGTGGAGGTTCTTATTTAATTTTTTTTTCCTCGGGGAACACGACCCACTGATGGGATGATTAATTATGATATAAAATAGTCCGTTTAAACGAAAAAAAAAAAGAAAAGAAAAAGAGG